TTTTGATGAAATGGCATCCATATTTCAGATACTGGCTTAAAATTACTGATTTGAAGCATGAATTTTATAGTGATGAGGGAAACAGAAATAGGATGCACAACACAGGGTAAGTAGGGGGAAAAAATGAAGGCAAAAAGATTGGTTTAACTGGGAGAGAGGGAAAGGAAAAGTCTCTGCATATTTACAAACAAATAAGACGAACAGGTGAAATTATGGTACAAAAGGACAAGTTTATACACAACAGTTCTGTGGATTCTTAATGCATGAGTAATTTTATTTAACTTGAGATGTCTATGGCTAAAGTTGTCACCATAGATTCCCTCTACTGCCAAGGGAGAGAAATAGGTGTTTTTAAAACATGATTCAGCTGACCTGTTTTAGCCATCTACTTCAGGATTAGATGAATCACACTCTAAAAGTGCCTATTTCTCTCCATTGATTATGAAAAGAGTCCAGGATGACAACCTCAGATGTAGATATCTCAGTTATAGATTTTTATATTTGGTCAGATGAATCCCACTATTAGAACCTATAGATTCTGACACATCTTCACTTTTTTCCATAATTTCTTATTGAAAAAACAACTAGTACGGAGAAATAGAGGAGATACACATACATTTGTATCAGGTGCAATTTACTGTAGAATGGCTAGAAAATTGACATTATGTGTGTCAAATGTTGACATTTTGATGAAAAAAATCAACTCCCAAATATTTCAGCTGAGAAAGAAAATATTTTTATGTGGAAATACTAACATGTGGCCTCATGGGAGTGACAGGCTGGTCCTTCAGACTTCCAGCCTTCTCTACAGGGCAGAGTCTTTACCTGGACTGTGTTTTCCAAGATTCAAATTCACCCTCATTCCTTCTTGTGATCTGGTGATGACAAGTCACAAAAGAAGCACCTAGCCAAGCAGCCAGAACCAGTCAGAGGAGACTGGGAGCATGAAATAGCCAAATTACACCTTCTGCAAGGTGTTAAAATGGCATACATTTAACAGAAGTATATGAAGTTTTGATAGAATGACAGCAAGCTAATATTTTAAACAAACAAATGACACTTTCAAAAAAGAGAAGAGGACAGGTTGGAATCAGTAACCCAACTTCTCAATATTCAGACTGATTATGCAGTCTTGAAGGAATGCTGAATTGTGCTTATACACTTATTCCTTATTTTGCTGTTGTATTTCAATGCTCTTTGTAATCACCTCACACTTTGATAGGCTTATGATCATATTTTGCATTCTTCCCTTCCCTTCCTTCCCTTTCTTTTTCTTTTTCTTTTTCTTTTTCTTTTTCTTTTTCTTTTTCTTTTTCTTTTTCTTTTTCTTTTTCTTTTTCTTTTTCTTTTTCTTTTTCTTTTTCTTTTTCTTTTTCTTTTTCTTTTTCTTTTTCTTTCTTTTTCTCTTCCTTTTTTTTTTCGTTTATTTTTCCTTTTTCTTTTTTCTTCTACTTTTCCTTTTTTCTTTTACTTTTCCTTTTTCTTTTTCTTTCTTTTTCTTTTACTTTTCCTTTTTCTTTTTCTTTATGCTTCCTCTCTATTTTTCTCTCTTTCCCTCTTGTTGAGGAACTGTGGATGACATTGATAAACTTAATACTCATTTTACCAATGTGTGGTGAGCAAATGGTATTTCCCAGTATGGACAAGAGCACAGGCAAACACAAAAAAAATAGATCTGCTTTACAGGTTATCAAACCAAACTTGAGTGCAAAGATATGCATAAGTTAAGTTCAGAAATATCTTAGAAGATAGAACTTATGCATAACATTTCTAGAGAAAAGACCATGTTCAAATTACAGGTCTGTTCAGTTGTGTTACTCATGTGCATAAAATAGTAACCTTTGTGAATGGTCTAAACAAATTTTGCTGTTCAAGAAGCCAGAGATTCTGACTCCTAATTCAAGATGGAGGGAACTGAAAGGGAAGAAAGCTAATTTCAGTATTTTCTTGATGCAAAATCTCAGATTTATGAAGGAAAAGAGTGAAGGCTGAAGAGCCTCTGAGGTTTTGAATTTCCTCCAGACAGCTCTGCTGCTGATGCATTATTTGTGAATAAAACTAAGGTGGAGAAGTAGGCTACTCTTATTTTCATTTGAAATTTAAACTCACCCATTTACAACAGTATATGATACAATGTAAGTAAAATAAGACTTTAATCATATACATATATTGCACAATGAAAAACTATGATGACATCATCAAGGTTTTTAATTATTTAAAAATCTTTCATCTTTTAAGTATGCATAGTGCTTTGCATTTGATTATAATTTCACATATTATTTATTTTTACAGATGTCATCTGCCATTTTCCAAAATATTTATGCCCTCTTTCTAAATGTCCCTAAATTCCAAAGCTGTCACAGCTTTTCAGTTCAATGTCTTCCCCATAGGTGGTCCTTTAACCCAGCTATATTTTCACTCATGAGAGGGAAATCCTTTAGCAATCTAGCATGAAATTCACTGTGCACAGCAACAGTCTCATCTCAGAATTTTTAGTTGTGCTTAGGCACTGAGACTGTCCTGATCTCTGTTCTACCCATGAAGATCTCCATTTGATTTATTTTTACTTGTTTTCTGCACTTGTTTCCATTACCCGACTCCTTACCTCTGAGGGTAACGGCTTTCTACCTACTTCCCAAATACGCATCCCAGATTCTTTTCCTAGCCTGTTCCTCTTCCCCTTCTTATGATGCATCTGCTCCTCACTCTCTTTAATAAGATCTAATCTATTTCATTTGTTCCCAAGTATTATTTTTTTTTTTACCAGAATTTAGTTTGCTGTAACCCAGCTAACAAACTTTTTGTAACACTTAATGTAATCTTCTTCATCCAGCCTTCTAATGCATCCTATAACAAAAAGGTCTCGGTGAGCTCTTTTCTGGCTTCCAATTATTATATATATCTCTGTGGTCCTATATAATTATTAACCTATTAGGCAGAATTTTTAATTTCTCCTCCCAGTGCCAGTCTTTCTTTTGTTCTCTCCACATTAGAGTACAGTGGCTCCCTTCTCCATGCCAGCAAAAAATCCTCAGTACAAAAAAGGAGAGCAAGGCTCCCTGCTCACTCCCCCCATACTGCATAGTGGTGAGAAATAACTAATTCCCTGCAGGTTCGGGGCTGACTGACTGGGAAGAAGCTTTGCTGAAAAGGATCTAGGGAAAAGCAGACTAAGCATGAGCCAGCAGCATGCCCTGGTAGCCATGAGTCCACTCTTGGAGGCTCTCAAGACCTGACAGAACAAAGTCCTGAGCAACCTGAATTCTGAATTCAGTGTGACCTTGTTTTGAGAAGGCTGGGACTAGGGACCTCCTGAAGACCCTTTCAACATACATCATTCTGTAATTCTGTGAATCCTCTGTTGAAAATGCTGTCCCTAAGTTCCTCACTAGTCCAGGCTAGAATGGGTTTGGATTTATAACAATGTTATGCATTCTTTTATATTTTCAAGCCTTTGCTCTCAGGCGCAGAAGACATGGAACACTTCAAAGGAAAGACTGCCAGGATTTTTTCAATGTGTACAAAACAAGATTATCTCCCTGGACTCATTGTTGGATACTACTGAGTAGTTTTATCTGAAATATTTGAAAAGAGGAAAATGAAGTCTGAGGCAAAGCGAGTGTATAAAAAAATGTCTGATTTTCAGACTCTTGCTGGTCAGCCACTGGTGCTACCAAAGCTGCTGTTAATCCATCATGACTACGGTGAAAGTTCAGCTCCCCACAGCATCAGCTAGACATCACGTGTTGAAAACCAGGCAAGTTGCCAGACACTAGTTCATTTTTAGTGGGAATGCCACAGTTTGGCAAATCAAGCGGTAAACCAGAATATACTCTATTTTGTCATCTGTTCTTAATGGACTATGTTGTTTTTTTAAGTGGTTTTGTATGGAATTAATAATTCAATGTATTGGCCAGTTGTAAAAATTATGCCTGGTATTAAAAGTAATCTTATAATTGCATTTCTCCCCTCCCTCCATCCTCCCCCCCCCCAAAAAGAAGTTTATCGCTGACCCATTTTAAGCTTTTCCTCTGAGGTTCTCTTGATATTTGCAAATATGCACCACTTAGCTAAGAGATGAGTGGTGACATGTAACAAAGTAGAAAATTAAGACAATGCTACACCTATTCATAAAGACACCACCAAGAAGAAAAAGGAAACTGTATTTCTTCATATTTTGTAAAACAGAAAGTGGAAGACAGAGCAATGCTGATTAAGCTTGGAAGGCAGAGGTTTCTTAGAGAAAAATGCTTAATAAAAAAACCTGAACTGTAGTACATATTGAGCTGTAACATGATGGAAAGTATCTCAAAAATGGAATATCCAACCAAAATAAAAGCTAAAATACAATAGTCTAAAGAGGTAGTTTCCTAAATGAACCCCACAAATATTGAAGAGAAAGGGAAAACACAGGAAGATACTTGCCTGAGTGCATCTGAATGGTTATCAGTGTTGATTAAACTTGTAAGTGATATCATAAATTATCTGTATACATGGAAGATCCTTTGAGAATCAAGAAACTGTGTGCACTCTGAGCCTGACAGTTGATGTTGACATTTTCATTTCATATTTTCTGAAGAAGCCAAAAGAAAGGTAACCAGTCTGTAAGGTGTCTGGAATGGGCGGAGTTACAGCAGAATCCAGAGAAATCTACAGATTAACATGCACAAACTTTTCAGGTTTGGAATAGGAAACGGACTTCATTATATTAGAAAGCGGCACATGAGAAACACTTAGAGGGTCTTGAAAAGAGAGTGAAAACTGCTAAAACTATCCTCAGAAAATCTGATGGATTTCTGCTAACTTCAGGTTGCCACATTGACTCTGCCATAATATTTATTCAGTTTCAAGGCAGGAAGACTCCATCAGAAAACTCTCTATGTATGTTCTTTGTTGTTTCAGCCCATTTATATGTGAGGTGCATGATGTCTTCTTGTTGAATTTCTGTTTGAAATATAACTCAGCAGAGCTCTGCTTATCCACACCAATATCTTACTTACACATTACTGACTCACCTCACTTCAGAATGAAGGTTTGTTTTCAGGGTAGTAGCTGCCACAGTCCTTCCTTCTGTACTGGGAATTTCCAGGTGGCCACTGACATTGATTAGGTCTTGTAGTTCAGGAGTGTTGGGGCAGAGGTAAGCAATGGCATGCTTTGCCCCAAGAAAATACTCTTCATGTAACCATTCACACCACTGCAGTTGCTAGCCAGACCACTGTTTCCTGAGGCCTGGATAAAAATATTTCCTTCACCACAATGACCCTAGGGGAATAAAAAAAATAACAAAACAAAACTGAACTTTCCATACAGACCTTTTATTTTAAACAGCCAGTGTTGTATTTCTGCCAAACTTAGAAGGTGTTTTTGATTATGTAGCTTTCAACTACCATGGAATTAATATAGAAAAACTTGCGTTCTTCAGGGAGCTCTGTCATACATCTGCAAAATAAGGTTCTTTTTATGTACCTACACATTAACATTGACATCCACTCCCTCATTTAATTAACAACATTTGAATGTCATTTCTTTTCATGTAGTAATTGTATTTTTTATTCCTAAACTGATCTCTTATTTCAGATGGAGATACGATTGGAAAATGTCAAGATTTGTCCAGAAAAAAACAGTAACAATAAGAGTTTCTTTTTTTCCTTATTGTTTTTGAAACCTAAATCTGGACTTTTCTAGGAAGTTTTGAAAAAAAAATCTGATGTGGGAAATGAACCTCCACATTTTGGCTTGAGGGGAGAACTTTCTAAATTTTTTAATTTTTTTCTTTCAGTGAGTTCAAAGCTAACCTGCTGGGTCTGGGAACTTTCATGTCTTTAGGACCCTGGTAGCAACTATAAATAGTTGTGGCTGTTAATGTAGGCACGCACGCTGGAGAATCTACAGCATGTATTACATGTCTACCAAGGAGCTGAATTCCAAAGATTTAAAACTGCCTTAGTAATGCTTAACTTTAACAGCCATATAAAAGATATATGGTGGAGGAATGCAATCCAGTGTTCACTAGCTACTTAAATTTCTTTAATACAGCTGAAAACCTCATGAATATTAAAGTGAGTCCTGGGTTATGTGTCCTTGTATATAAGGTATTCCTCTTGATTCTGGTAAATGATGTCCATGCAGTTATTAAAATACATGGATACTGTTAAAGGAGAAAGTGTGGTTAGATCACAAGTTGGAAGGGTACCCTTTGTTCATAACTTCATCTAAAGAACCATGAGACAATGTGTAATTAGTTGGGTTATTTTGTTTTGGTTTTTTTTTTTTTTTTTTATATCAATTTAAGTGTATGAAGGGCAATCCATCCATTTAGGAAACATATATCTGTGTACAGACAGAAAATATTGTGAACTTTTTTTTTTTACTTTACTGAAAAATTTCATCAAGTTAAATACTGTAACAGAGTTACACCTGATAACTTTTCAGTAAGCCTATTCTTTATTACTAAATTGTCTAGTGATTAATATATTAGTATAATTATCATACTAAGATGGCAGATGAACTTTGCAGCTGGAAGAAAAACAAAATTTTTAAGTATATCTGGGATAAGGTACCAAGACATATCTCAAAAAATCCCTTATAAAAATATATAATTTATTCTGATCACTTTTTTCTTTAATTAGTGAAGTTATTTAATTAATAAGCTTGTTTTTGTGTGAGTTTTCCTATGAGTGGAAATTTCTAAATGGCAATTATAGCATAACCCTTTTGAAGAAATTTGGAAAAGCAGCAGGATAAAGACTTGCAGCAGATATTTTTAACTAGTTCTATGCATTTAAAAGAAGAAATATAAATTTTGAATGGTTGTATGAGCAATATGAAAATGCAAGTTATGCTGAAGGTTTATTTCCAGTTCAAATCCTAACATTTGCCTTGAAAAGAAGACATTTTGGCTGTTTCCTGAGGAAAAGCATTTTTTGATCAATTAGGTCAGAAGAAGCTTCTGTATTTCTGAAGGAAAAAAAAAGGGGGAGGGAAAAAATGTGAAAGCATCTTACAGGTACTAGATTATCCCTTTAATGCCTCCATTAATATTAAACAAATCCTGCAAATACAGTGTCTCGGTTTTGGAAAATATATTAATTGGGTGTATGTCAGGAATAAAATCCAGGAACTCACTTTTAATATTTCTTAAATCAAAAGCTTCTTGTTCTTAACAGCTAACCCATTTAGATATTCCTTCCCTCTCCCCCTTCCAAAAGCCACCTCCTTCAACTGACTGCTGCACTCCAGTGCTGCCTGTACAGGTTACCAGCAGTGAAATGTATTAGAGCCATCTACATCAGTGTTACTTCCACAAATGACTAAAAAATACACCGTTTTTCTTAATGCTCAGAACCACATTTACTATCAAACATGTCTGGAAACTGCAATTAAGTGCTGAGTTTTCTTTGGAGATCCAACCCAAAATATCACTCAAAAGCAAAAAAAGATTCTGAATGGGGTCTTTTTCTGATTTGATATATTTTCATATAAATCACAAATGTATAACTGAAAATAATGATATAAAATCAAGCAAAATCAGTTAATTTTACTACAGATTTTTATTACAGATAAATCATAACTCCTTTGGCTAGTAATGCATATCTTGGACATTGCTAAGTGATAATATTCTATTTACTGGTAAAGTAGGAAGTACATAACATGAGGAGACAATCTCCTAAGACCTCAAACCTGAAAATAAGTTTTCTTAAAAGTACTCCTATGAATAGACACACTTAAAATCAATGAAACTACTCACGTGCTTAAATTTAAGTATATGAAAAGTATTTCAAGACAGGAGATTTAGCTCTTAATTATTTTAGGTCACTGAAAGAAATGGAGGCCACAGTTTCTCCCAGTACAGGTGACAAATCTGCTTAGAAAGGTAATGTGGAAGTGGCAGAAGGAAACCATGTATAAGCAGTCTCATCCAGGAATACGTAAGCAGACTGATACTGTTATAGAGGATCTGGCTGGGGAATGACTGATCTAGGTTTTCATATTGCAAAATATTTAGAGGAGACATCCTATACAAATTTTAGAAAACACAGATCAGGGACTTAAGATAACTGCCGGATGCATAATTAACTCCAAATAATTTGTTAGACAAACCTCACCTCCTTTTTCTATTTGTGAACTGCACAAGAACAGTTTATGACTTTCTTAGATTTATTATTCAGAATTATTCCCTGAATGAAGGTGTATCATTTATGAGCACTTCACTGCAAGTGCTTGATATTCAAAATTTGGCATTCGATATTGTTATGTTGGTTAGTCAGAGCAGAACACGTTGCATGTTGTGTTTCTCTAAGTAGAAGTAACTCAGTCAGGTTTTCCATTGTAAATCATGATATTTCAGAATTCAAAAATCACTTTCTATTCCCATTTTTTCAGTAATCAGAAGACATCTCAAACATTCTGGTTAAAGGCACATTTGTTCAAAATTAAAATGTCATTATTTTCATAGAATTATTTTGTCCTATTATGCCTCTATTTATGTTCTATAATGTTTCTACTATGCAGCTATAACAAAAAGGTTTATCAAAAATATATCATCATTTAAAAAGAACCCCAACTAATAGGGATAATTTTGTCCAGCTGCATAATCCCCCAGCTGGCATATTGTGGAATGTCCCATGCCTTATTCATCAGTCCTAATATGTTAAGAATAAAACTTACAAAAAGTGACTCCACTAAAGAGTTGGAGCTTTGGCTATCTAAAATCAGTCAGGGGAAAAGTTTGAGAATGAAGAGATTCATTTATGTCTTGAAAGTCTTACTTGTATGCTCATAAATTGAGATTCCAATCTTGGTCCTGCTTCTGGAGAACTACTTCCCACATCATGGGGCAAAAGTTTTATGGTTCCCTTGCTGCTGAAAATCCTATAATAAATAGAAGATTGTAAAAGCATAAATTGAAAAAAAATAAAAAAAGAAAACATTTTGAAGAGTTCATAATTCCTTTTTTTTTTTTTTGAGGAAGGATAAAATAGATGGAGAATTGGAAGTGAAATATATAGAGAAACTACACTGCTCTTAACACAAGTAATATTTAGTAATTTCTTAGCCCTGGTTTGCAGTCAGTCATCCTAACCATCTGCTCAGAACTGAACTTTTTCTTCTTCTTCAGTGTAGTTGAACTATATCAACAGAAACAATTTTTTTCAGGGAGAGTAAATGTACCGCTACAAACAGTTTGATGAAAGACTGAATCTTTATATTCCTGGAAAGTAAGTCTTCCTGTAACAAGCAGCTAATGTTTGAACATGTCAAAGCAAGCCTTTTAGTACAGGAGATAAGAGCACTTGAATGATTCTTACAAAGTGGTAACTGGCCCAAAAGAAAATGTTGTGCACGGTAATTTATTCTAGGAGTTACATTTTCCTCGGCCTTGAAAAGAACTTTACCATGACTCACTACATTGGGCTCACTCACACTCTTATTTGGAGGATTTGGGTCTGAAATACAGACCAAATATACAAGCAAACATTTTATTCATACAGGCAATGTTACTGGCATAGACAGTGGTAAGATAATGGCCAGATCCGTATTAGGAATGGGTCATAAATGAATGGCAGTCTGAGGTGGGTTGTTTATTCATGGTTTTAACTATGCTGTTAAATGCCATACTGCAGAAGCTTTAATGCTTATGCAACTATGTTAATTTAAAAGTACTGTTCTTGATAAAAATCCTTTTGCTTTTGGAATTGGTGAATAACATACCATCAGAAAGCCTTTATTGCTGGTATAAACTACAGCTGTGTTAGAGGGGATAGCTACAGTAACCTAGTGTCTCTATCTCAGCATGTGGCCTGTTCAAAGTCATTGTTTATGCAGACTTTCTACCATATGGAATTATCAACATTTTACTGCAAAAAGTTCTGCTTTGTACTTCCAGAGTGAGAATAGAGCAAGAGAGATTTTGTTTACCCCTTTTTTCCTTTGAGGAAGAAAAAAAAAGAAAGAAAAAGAGAGAGAAAAAGAGAAAGAGGTAGAAAAACAGAAAAAAAGGAAAAGGAAAAGAAAAAGGAAACATAAAAGGGAAAGGAAACGAAAAAGAAAGAGGAAAAGAAAAAGAATAAAATAAGAAAATGAAAAGAAAAAAAGAAAAAGAAAAAAGGTAATAATTGATCTCTGCCCCTTGTAATCCTCTCCTGTTAGAAATAGATGTCATTATAAATATCACCAAGTATAAATATATACACTTATTAATGTAGTGTAAAATCTCATATTTTGGGTAGCTTATCCACTCTCAAATGGCTGAGATTGACCAT